TAAAAATATAGAGTAGTTTTAAAGATAAAAAAACCTGAAGATGATGCTATGCATTGAAACATGTAGTAGTATAAAGCGCAATACTGTAACATCGTAATAACGATGAATAGCGCAAAATATCAATATTAATTTTAAATTTTAACATCAACAATTTAAAGTTTGTGTATAGACTTGAATTATATTATATATTTGAATAATGATATATGATATACGTACTTATTCAGTTTGTCATAAGTTTCGTAGGCAGGGAAAGAATCCCTGATCTTCTACCCCACATCCTGTTTTACACATTTTCATACATATTACTTAAATTATTCAATCTATACTTCTAACCTACAATCTATCATTACTTTATTTAAATTAACATTACTTAAAACTCCAACACAGAATTCATCTATTACATTTTTATTTAATATCCAAACATTTATCTTTAGGCTGTCTATTACCATATATAGTCCACATCAATTATCATCTTAATATATGGGTTTATTATCCTGTATTATCATCCGTTTCACATTCCACCTGATATTTCAAAAGTTTAAGCCCACGTTTCCTCTTACATGTACTAATTTTAGATCCAGTTTCTGAAAATCAGCACAGGCGGTAAAATAACATACAAACAGTAGGTGAAACGTCATCTATATACTACACGGTGGAAAATCCAGGAAGCCAGGCGCCTTTACACGTACAAAACGGAACGATTTCGATTCATTATCATTTCGCGGAGTTTAAATATGAGATATCTCATTAAAAAAAACAAGGCGTTTGAAACCAGACATTGAATATGTATTTCACGAGGTTTCACCCCGAAAATATACTTAACGATCAAAGTTATCGCGTTCAGCGAAACCGACTACATGGTGTGCAGTACTTCAGGAGCTTACAGTCGCTTAGTTAATCACCGCTTAACATAGCTCAGGCTGCCAGATGCTTTCTTATCACGGAAACTCAGGTACAGTCCTGGGCGACATCAAATGAAATTCGTGAGTTCTTCGGATTTTTCTTACTGATCATCATCGCACCACTGCTCCATACTCACGTATCACCGCTCACGGTGCGATAATCATGACCAAGCAGCACATCTCCATACCCTCGGTCCTACGTTAAGGGCCTCATTTGTGACCTCTTGGCTAGTCTTGGAGTAAAGTAGATTAGTTTTTAATTGATTCAGTTTTCGCTTAATATTTAACATCGGATTAAAGCAAAACCTGCGACACCGTTTATCCGTTACGATAAATTTTGACTACCAACAGAAGATGTACAACGTGACCTGTCATATTATAGCTTACGACATCGAAACTCTTACTTTTCAAAGGATAGAAGCGAAACAAAAGAGAGTCTATTGTTCGGTTTCGCTCATTTCGCTCGGTTGAATAATAATGTTTGCCTCAGTTGTTATATTATCTGCAGTCCAGTGAGCTGAGATAAATCTAAAAATGTACAATAAGCGTGTCCCAACTATTTACGGGTTGACGTTTTCACCACAAAAACGGCTGCTGTGTGATTATTTACAGAACTGAGTTTAATTGTACTTGACTGTACGATACAAAAGAGGGTTTGTTTCCCCACATTGCAGTCGGCTGTTAAGCGATACACAGGCGTACGCCAAGGGTGAGGCTATTATAAAAAAATATACATTGGTTTGTTGGAGAGAGCGGGTTATGGTAGGGGACATTCAGATAGACAGAATCAGAGGAGTTATGCACAAACATGGCGAGCGTTGAAGCACAGCTGACAATGTTCAAATTACGTAATGTTCAAACAACGTACGACTATTTCGTGTTGCGATGGCAAAGGAAAAACTTACAAATGCACATAAAATATCGTACATTAACACATAAATGAAAAAAAATGAACATGGGTGAGAACGAAACAGAAGACTGCTACTGTTGCACTCTGATAAAGACCTTTATATTATCACAGTTTGTTTAAATATTCATCCGCTCGATTCAACATTAGACTTTCTATTTTTGAGCTCTGTTGCAATTTTCATACGTGGATTCAAATTGTCGCTAGTGATGAGTATAAACTTTTTTCTGAATGATATCAAAACTCATATTTCCCTTCTTTATTCTGTGAACATTATGTTAAAACTAATTTTTATAATTCCAAATCGTAAAGAAATTTTCGAAATTGTTATGTATTGTGACATTTTACAAAAGTTCCTTTTTAACTTCTCTAAACCTGTGTTACAGTAAATTAAACATAACCTGAAGTAATTTCTTAAACATACCGCCTCAGTGTCTTTTGCACGCGAAAGATGAAAGGCGATGACACACTCTCGCATCCAACGCGTACGTCAGTGTCAAACCTTGCCTCAATCAGCCGCGCTCAATTGGAAGGGGAATACAAAGAGATGCGTTAATTCAATTTAAATTCTGAAGTCATCTTTGCATAATTTTCTGAGAACCCCTGTGCAATCTTTCTGGCACGAAATTTAACCATTGTAGTGCATTATGAATGTGGTAAGCACCCAGCCAACACCAAATATTCTTTGCGTTTGAGTGAACCCACTTCATGAACAATTCCTTATCATACTAACAAAATAAATGAAAGCTGCGCGTTGCTGTTGACTCAGTAAGACTGAAGTTACACTTTTCCGCTAATTTGCTGTTGAAATTGATGCGGCGTGGGGCAGAGCAGAGAGAGCAAATATAGAGTACTGAAGACAACATTTTATGAGATGCCGCGCCATACACGTCTCATAAAAAATTTGCCGACGTTTCAGAAGGTTCTTACTGCCTTCATATTCAGCCTAATGAAAGAGACAGCGCTTCAGTTTTTACGATACTGTAGAGCGCAGTATCTCAAAAGAGTGTCGCCGTAAAAAGATGAACTGTCACTTAATAAATGCACTGTATGGACGTGTTCTAAATATAGAATTAAAAAAAACAGTCTCAATGTACTGAACACTGCAGTATTAAAAATGATTGATGATTAAAGGCAGGCAATGCCCCAATAATTTCGGATACAATTCCCGTTTCAAATTCGGGACATTCTTACTTGGAGGCGCAGTAGGCTCGTTTTCAGTCTCTTCAGAGGAATGATTTCTCCCTGTTCTTCTGGACCAGTTTACAGATAACTGTCATATCTCTCACTCCGCACTTCTCCGAGTCTGACTCTGATAGTGCCACTAACATAAGAAAGGAACGGAAATCGAAAATGAAACAGATGAGAACTGTGAAACAAAGACGGAATAACATTCTTCTGCGTGCCTAAATTGATACACGGGCCGATCGCAGATCTGAAAGATGGTGTCCATTTTCCTGCGACCTTTCAAAAAGAGGGATTACGTCCCTCTTAGAGAATGTTATTCATCATTACAGTCACTTGTGTGAAGACATATTTTACCTTCAGCTGAGAATAAATAATGCCGTATCAAGAGTTAAAAATTTTTTACCTTAGATTTTCGCGATAAAAGTTAAATATATAAATTCTAACATCGGGGATTAGATACTCTGCGCCATACGCTGAAGGTGTTCCGACGTTTTGACAAGCATTAAAGTTGCACTTTTCAGGGTGGCAGGTGCAGACATTTTGGGTTACATTATATTATATTTTTTTCTCTTATGGAGTTCCGTTATTCTGTTATTTTATAATTCAAGCCTTCAAATGTAACAGAAATGTTCCTGTATACCGAATAAAATTTGCTTTAGCATCATTTTCCATAACACCAGTAAGGAAAGGATTCAACTCAAGTTCCCCTTTTCTTCCAAACCTTTATTAAGCAAATTTTGTCTTCTAGTGTGTGAATATACTTCAGACTTCAAGATACTTTTCAATAGCTGCATAACGCAGTACCTATTTACCCTAGCTTCTACAAGTAAACATCTCAGAACTGTTCACTTCCGTGAGACGAAACAGATTAAGTATGAAAGAAAAATCAGTTTCTCTAGTGGCTAGTTCTCGCTACAGAGGATACCGTTCATACTGGGAAACTCAGTACTGATGGAAACTGGGAAGTATGGTAACACAGCATCCCGTTCAGTCACTCGACTCTGATTATCAAAGGATCGATAGCACATAGCGGACCAGCGACGTTCACGGAAAACTAAAACGCGTGCAGATGACTGTCAGCATCAACATAAACTCACAAAACAGCACTATAAAATGTTTTGAAGCTCATTTGATGATTCAAGAACTTTCGAAAAGGAAGCCAAATTTGCTTAGATAAGTCGCGCCTATTCATCTGGGTGAATGTTTCGCTGTAACCTCCGTTAAACGATTTTGATTCACCTTGATGATTATTAATAAAATGAACGATCCATATTACATTCTAGGAAGAAACTGCCGGTTTCACTTCCACGTCTGAACTAACAAGTTCCATGGAGCAAAATCCTTAAAAAGCTGATAGTCGCTCAATCCATATCATTATCCTAGATTTTATCACCCTAATAACATATTGAGAAGAACAGAAATTACTCAGCTCGCGTTACGTTATTCTGTATCAAAACCTGAAAGGAGGGACCATTTTTGGAGACGTGTAGGTGGAAGAGTATTATTAACTCTTTCCATTCTCCTGTCACTTAGACCCTCTTAGATCCAAATATTTCCCTAAGTATCGCGTTCCCAAACACCCTCTTTCTGCAGAACACAGCCATCTTCACACTCCCCGTCGTGAAAACCTTAAATCATCCTCCATCTGCTTTTCTACCTCCCTAATGTCAGAAACCAACTTTCACACCCAAACAAAACAACAGATAAAATTATCGCTTTGCATATTTTATATCCAAAAAGAGTGATTCTGCAGCTCAGGGGTCGGGTGAGGTGTTACCAACTCTCGACCATACAAGACCAGCTCGCTACGAAATGTTACACAGAAGACATGAAACGCCAATCAAAACTCAGGAGCATGCCCACTCACCTAGACTGTACCGCCACAGATCTTTCAGGGGTAGGTTGCCGTTGCGACCGCCTAGTAGATAGACGTTACTCCCCAGGAGGGTTGCACTGTGCTTTGAGCGGGACGAGGGGGCAGGTCCGTCCGGGGTTGGCGTCACAGCGCTCCACATCCCCCGGCACCCTCCTCTCACCACCTGCAACAACGAAACGTTCGCCATTACCAGACCTGAGACAGAGAACTGAAGTCTTAGTACAGATTACCACTGCGTTAAATTTATCATAAAAAATGTCGACGTTGGCGCTCTATGATAGAACGCCGGGTGGACATGTAGGTACGAGGAGATACCAACGTTTCAGAGGAACATGCTGCCTCCATTTCAGTTCACACGGTGTTACAACTTGTTAAGACCAACATCGACATCTTCACCACTGTGAGAACTTCAAGTCTCATACAGTCAAGATATAACATCACAGATCCTTACAGTTAAACATCTGTAATTTTTAATGAATAATAAACGTTTCATGCAGAATGTTTATGACGTCACATGTTTAGCTCCAACTGGGTGTTCCTTGCAGCAATCAAGGTGTGATACTTCTGAACCATTATGCTACACTATGCAACAGCGAGGGTTTGTGTAAAAACATAGAAGTGATAGACTGACTTCCTTACGTCGGTCGGATGGTTGTATTCGGAATCAGTAACTGCCCACAATACGCACGTACCGTGACAACGAAGTTACACATCTTTACAGAGACGTCAAAAGTAAACGAGAGTCAGGACCATGGAAAAAATTTCCTGTGTAATAAAGCGATAGGGAAGGAAGCCTGAAAGTTAGTTGGGAAGCAGCGCATAAAGGGGTAGCTTGTCAAGGTAAAAGAGAGATCTATATGGGATGGAATAATGAAAGAGAGTGTCCCATAGTAATTGGAGTTGACTTCTTTTCTCCTTCCACTTCGAGGGTGTGTGTATATTCGTTCGCTTTCAACTTGAAAGAAGAGACAGCAGCTATGGATAGAGTAGTGCCATTCTTTTAAGTGGGCAGGTAAATAAAGGGAAGGGACGGCGCCCTCTCCTTCAATGCAAGGTGGCGGGATGCTGACTGACAGGGGACACCAACTTCCGGTTCAGGGACCAGAAGATCCCAGAAGAAACTGTTCTCGAAATATGCAGTACAGGCATTCAGATGCTCAAAGTTTGAAGATATCTGACGATGGCGCGATGTATTGCGTTAAATTGTTCTTTTGGACGTAACCATTGTATAGACGTTAGTAAAGCCACGACGTTTTGGTAGTTGGTTCTACTTCGAAGGCCGTTGTCAAGTAAAAGGAGGGAAAAGAACCCTAATGTACTGAGCTACAAGGTGCATCTAGTCCAGGTCCTTCACCCGCTGACGGAAGTATAATTATCTTCCGAAACGCTGTGGTTCTAATAACATCTAGACGATGAACAACGTCCAAAGGACCTTGCAAATACTAAGAGAATTTGCAGTACCAAAGCTGCGAAAAAGCCTCACAAACGTAAAACGCTTGAGGGAAGTAAGAAGTCCAACTAGAATTTCAGTAGAAAAACTTATGGTATACATAGGCGTAGTTGGGTTGATGATATTAAAAAGGATCAAACAAAAACAGTATACGAGGGCCCATACAGGGTTCATCTGGCATAAGACAAGGACCAATATCGATCTCTTGAGAACAGGGCAATAAACCTTCGAATTCCACAAAGTTTGTTAATTTCTTTACCAGGTTCTGACCATTAGTTTCTCATTAATTTGATATATTTCAGTTAAATAACACAAAGCGCTATGCATGAAACTGAACCTGATTTCTTATCCACAGAAAAAAACTAACTTCTTCTTGAGACTGAAAGATGCAAAAGTTTAGGCAATCACAAAGAAAGTTATTTTTATGCGTTTACTGGAAAAACAAGTGACTGTGACACATTAGTTAATTTAAGACACTAATATTTGTCCACCCCTCGTGTATGAGCAAGGAACTGAGAGGCGCAACGGAGAGAAGGGGAGTAATTCTTACGCACCCTCTTTCATTATCTTCGGAACTCGATTAGCGTCAGATGAAAGCCCTAATCAATACAAATTAAACTAAAGAAAATTGGATCGGACGGTCGGATCAGACAAAAGACCTTCCGCTGCACTTAAAAAGAGCAAGTTTTCAGCACAAAATGAAAAAAAAAAACTTCAGGTGTGTGTGGAACTGTTTCCAAATACTCGCTTAGTTCCTACCGCCATCTTAAGTTGCAGAAGTAAGATTTAACTTTTTGCATTACCTAAATAAATGTATCTTAACAGACAGTTAGTTCTGTAACAAGGATAGCTGTGATGCAGCATCTATTTTAACGAAATACCAACTCCAAACCTGATACATTATAAGTATTGGATTATGGGAAAATAAAATATGTGATTAATAGCATCTTCGAATAAATAGAAATATTAAGTCCATGCATACTTAGTATATACACGTATATGCAAAATTCTGAGAGTATTTTCACTTTAAACAGTTAAGCAATATACGTGAACTATGTGCAGGGTAGCGAGCGGGCACTTTGAACGTCGTAATGTATCTACGGGTTCCACAAAATGCTGAGGAATTTGACTAGCTGACATGTTGGAAGTCGAGAGTAACAGGTGCAGTTTAAGTGATATTAAATCCTTAAAATTACCACTTCAGCAGCATTAAAACATATAACAACATTAACAGAAATGGAAGCCATCAAAAATAATGTCCAGACTGAAGGAAGCTGATCACTCGCCTCCAATACCGAGGTTAAGAATTCGTGGAGCTGTTTGGTTTCAGTACCAAACAACCATTGACTTTAAAGTCTACAACACCTTGCTGAATAGTGGGAATGTAGTACTTAGATGTGACATGTAACGAAGTTTAATTCCGAGGGACACAAAATCCAATATACATTTTTAGGATTTGTGACATAAAATAAACCCAATTATATTGAAAGTGATCCTAACACACTTTGCGACAGCATGCTTCACCCCATGTTAAACTGAATTATACAGTTGTTCGAAATTGGTTTATAAAAAGTTTACTTTCAGTTTTATTCCCAAAGACGCTGACAAAAAAGTCGAAGTTACGGCTTTAACTCCCAGTGGTAAAAATGTACCACCAGCATTAACAAGCAATAACTCTGCATTTTGTATTTATGTGTTCGTATAATTCTTACTGCAGACAGGGATTGTTTTCTTAACAGCATTAACCACTCGATCGTTGATAATAGTGAAGTTTTATGTTTTCTCTGACGTACCGATCGAATTCTTACATATTATTTAGTTGTTCTTCGGTTTCAAAGGATCTAAATTAAATAATCTTTGCGGCTATTATTCAAAACATTCTGAAAAAAATCGGACAATACTAACGGGCACTTCACATGAAGACGATGTTGCGTTTCTGCTCACCGAAGTGACGGCGGGGAGGAGGGTGTGGATCTCGAGGCTACCTTGGTTACCATGGTTACTATAGTTACCTACGTTAAAGGTCAAAGGTCATATTGTGGGGATCGCGCCAGGATTGTTACGCTTTGTTTACATTCTCTAACTTGTTTAATCCTCCAAATTAATTTATGGGGGTGAAACGAAACAGTACGGCAGGGAGTTAATAGAACTGTCAGTACAAGTAATCTTGTCTGTTCATTCCGATGTTTACTGAAACGAGCGTCGTCGGGAACACAGACAGTAAATTGAAGAGAAGTTACTGCGTGTTAATACCGCGTCACGAATGTGCACAGTGAATGTGAAAGTAAAGTTATTAGCTTAACCGCAACATTAGAGAGAAGTAAGCAGTCAACCAACTTCACAAGGAACAAAAAGTTTTCGCTAAAAGCAAAATTACCGTGTAAGGTGTAGTGGCTGTAAAACTCTATAATTTATTATGCAGATACAGAGTTCGAATCTCACGAGAGCTTCTGCTCGGTCCCTCTATATTTCTGCCGGTATTTACTAAGGACCGCACATTTGTCCTTATTTCCCTATGGACTACTATGTTTATGAACAGCGTATGGATGCGAACCAGACATGCACGAACATCTACATTCCCAATAACAAACATAGCCCTGCAAATGACATCATTCTAATAAAGGGGATATTTACATTTATTAAATTTTTTACCTACCAAATAACGTAAACTGCTTTCCTACGTTTTATTTTGGACTATAAGTTATTCTTTTATATTAATTATTAATCTCATGACGTGAGCGCATATTGTCCAGAATTACAATATGATTATGTTTTCTTCCCCCATAATTTTAAGGCTAATAATTTCACAGTCAGACAACACTTGAATTACTGTTTCTTAGGTATGACACACATAAAATAAACTCCGATGTGAATATTCTTTCCAAGTCTTAGAAAACGTCATGACAAGGTTGCTATAAAAGAAACTACATTTCCAAAAATTAATTTTCGCTTCAAATGGTTATACAATCTGAAACTTTATAAAACGATTCAAGTTTCCCCGAGGTCGTACACTGTGTGGTAATGTATCGTATTTGCCTGTGAGACTAACAAAATCCAAGGAAAACCTCAGTCAGGATAAGAGACCGGTAGGTCGAGATTCGAATACGAGGCCTCCTAAATACAAAACACGACATTAAGTGAATTTCAGAGGACAAAAAATAAATCGATGCTGTGATATGAGACAAAAAAACATCTAATTCACTCAAGACTAACTGATAAACTTAAGAAGAAGATGCAGAGCAATGGTTAGGAGGACACTGCAAAGCGACGGAAGAAATGGAACTGGGATGATGGACAGTTAACAGAATGCAAGGACGGAGGACTGATGAAAACAGACACGATAAACACCAAGCATAGGAAACGGTAATCGACTCCAGGGCGAGGTGTGGTCGATATAAGGGGCAGCGTACTGACAGAAAATAAATTGTGATATTCTTAGAGACAGTCGTTTAACTGTGAGTTTGTTTTTGTGAGGTTCATCGACCTAAACAAATAGACAGAAGCTGTTGCATCTCCGCCCTTCTAACAGGGGGAAAGCGGAACAAACGAAGATAACAAAGACGACAACGTAGTGACGTTTCGAAACCCCGTCCTTTTGGTTGGCAAAGTAAAATCATCTCGGCGGCTTCCTACTGCACATCCCGCAGTAGATGTGTACTGCGTTCCAGCGTTCTTGGCCGCTGAACTTTGTGAATTGGAACCTCGGAGAGGGT